GCTCTCTTCATTCCAGGACTTTCCTGGTTCATGGTGCAAGATGTTTTCTGAGACTCGAAAAGAGTTATGTCTTATCTACAACCTACTTTCTTTTTCAGGTACAGCAAGCATTTGAAAGTCCAGAGACAACAGTCTAAATGCCCACCATAGAACAAGTGTTCGTGACAATATATTTCTACCTCTTTCCTGGCAATTGAAAATGGTTAAGTATTGAGAGTTGTTGGTGGTGTATGAAATAAATGAGAGTGTGATATTGGAGGTGAGGTCCGATGACCAATGACAGTTGAGTACTTGGACGGCCAAATTAGTGTACCTTGTTGATGCAGTCTGGTGATTATCTGGTATTTTTTTATTTGATTTTTTTTTTAAATTTGGGTTCCCCCAACTCTACAATTAATTAGGCAATCAATCAATCAAGGACGTAAGGAAAATCAAGACTGAATGTGATAATGAAAAGCCCTGGGTAGCATTTATTAAAATAGAAACATACTCCTGCATCCATTACTATTTATATTCATTTACATCTCATACTCTATCCTTATCTTTTTCTCTCTTTTTCTTACACACACACACACACACACACACACAGACAGAGAGAGAGAGAGAGGGGGAGAGAGAGAGAGAGAGTGAGAGAGTTACCAAACATTGCATCAAACTCTGAACAAAAATGAGAAAACAGAGGTACTAACTCTGCAGAAAGCAGTACGTTGATTTTCTGAGTGAGGATACCACAGCAAATACCACATTACTGGTGTTCAGGTACCCTTATCAGATAGTACAAAATAAACCCTACAGTGTACAGTTTGTGTTGATCCAGTCTCTCGTTCTCAGAATGCTCTCACAACACAGATCACAAATCACTCAGAGATTGTTTTCAGACCCTCAGCCCTTTCCAGAAGTTCCTTCAAGCTCTCATGTTAATAGATATACTTTATTTTTGTTCTTTTAATCAAAATGTTATAGATTGGGTACATTGAATCTGGACCAAAAGAGTAGTTTATTCACTCATAGCATCTTCATTTAACACTATATTATAAGCCTATTATCAATCTCCATCTCAGATACACACTTAAATTATTATTATTATTATTATTATTATTATTATTATTTTGAGATGGAGTCTTGCTCTGTCGCCCAGGCTGGAGTGCAGTGGCGCGATCTCGGCTCACTGCAAGCTCCACCTCCCGGGTTCACGCCATTCTCCTACCTCAGCCTCCAGAGTAGCTGGGACTACAGGCGCCCGCCACCAGGCCCGGCTAATTGCTTTTTGTATTTTTAGCAGAGACAGAGTGTCACCGTGTTAGCCAGGATGGCTACGATCTTCCGACCCAGTGATCCGCCTGCCTCGGCCTCCCAAAGTGCTGGGATTACAGGCGTGAGCCACCTCGCCTGGCCTATATTTTATACTCAACTGTGTAAAGGTTTTCTCAATACTTCCAATATTTGCCACGTACTCTTTTACTCTTGGTTTCTGACACTCCAGTCACAATATTGCATCATTTCAGCATAAGAGTTTTCAGTGCTTAATCCATCCAATGGGGCTACATTTGTATGTTTAATTGTTTGTTTGACTAATATTTGCAACATTAACCGTGTACCAGGTTCTGTTCTAGATGCTTGGAATATGCCAGTTAACAAAGTAGCTAGATTCCTTACACTCAGAAAGTTTATATACTAGTGAAGAGAAACATTCTCTGAATACATAAATAGGTAAATATATCACAAGCTAGATGCAAAAAATAAATAAATAAATAAATAAATGAATAAATAAATAAATAAATAAAATAAGAGGAAAAATAAATGAAGACAAAGAAACATACAAAATGATGGATGCTGTACTCCTATAGATATTGCACTCAGGAAAGCCTTCCTTGAAATAATGAAATGAGAACAAAGAATGGACAGAGTTGGAAAGTGAATCATATGGTTCTTATTCAGGAAAAGCATCCCAGCACAGAATATAGCCAGTGCAAATGCCCTAGGGTAGCAATGCACTAAACATGTTTAAAGAACTGCAAGGAGACAGTGTGACCAAAAGAGAATGTGAGTGGGGAAAATGGCAGAGACAAATTAGGAGAAGCAGTGTGAGGCCAGATCTCATGGTTCTTGGTTACCACATGGTAAACATTTAAAAATTACTATCTCAGTGAGACAAGAAGCCTTTTTAGTGCTTTAGAAAAAAGAAGTAACATAATTTTACTTAGATTTTATGAAGATCACATTTTAGTGAAAAGATTAACAGGTCACAGATGGAAGTCAAGGGAAGTGTCAAGAGCACATGGAAGAGGACGGAAGAAGAATCATGATGAGGAATGGGAAGAAGGCAGCAAGGGGTGACAATCTTGACCTTCTGTTCTTTCTCTCCCCAGCAGGAAACCACAAGCAGCCAAGCCCTCCTTTATCAACTTCAAGAAACACCTTTACTGGTACAGATTACATGCTTAACATTTTGTATTTCAATAAAGGTGAAGACAAATGAACTGTGTCTTTTTCTTTTTCTAATAGAGAATATAATTTCACTGAAAATGGTGGGTGAGTCTAAATGAAGTGGAAGAAGCTAACCGGAGTTTTTATCTTTATGGCTCGCATAATATCCAATTAAGAAAACCGACTGCGACTTAGCCCCAACAATAGGATGAAAGCAGATGATGCCAAAAACTATAGTGACATAGCACCTCGTACCCATTAGAATGACTCCCATCAAAACAAACAAACAGAAAATAACAAGTGTTTGTAGGGATGTAGAATAATTAGAACCCTGTGATCTGTCGGTGAGAATTTCAATTGGTACAGCTACTGTGGAAAGTTGTATGATGGTTCTGCACAAATCAGAAATGAAGTTACCCTATGATCCAGAAATTTCATCTATGGGTACGTACCTAAAATAATTGAATGCAGGATTTCAAAGATGTATTTATACACCCACAATCATAGCAGCATTGTTCACAATATCTAAAATGTGGAAGCCACACAACTAACCAATAAATGATAAATGGATAAGCAAAATGTGGTATATACTCATAATGGAATTTTAGCCTTGAAAACGAAGTTCTGACATTTGTTGCAATATGAATGAAACTTGAGAACATTAGGCTATGTGAAATAATGATTTCACTTACATATAAGGTACCTAGGGTATCCTATTCATAAGGAGAGAAAGTAGAATGGTGATAGTCAGGGACAGTGGGGAGGAAGAAATGGGGAGTTATTATTTAATGATACAGAATTTCAGTTTTACAAGATAAAGAGGAATTCTGGAGGTAGATGGGGGTGACTGTTATGATATTATGAATATATTTAGTATCACCAAACACTACATGTAAAAATGTTAAGATGGTCAATTTGGGAGTATGTATTTTTACTACGATAGGAAATTGGGAAAAAATGGTGCAGAGGTGAGAAGAGATGGAGTAAATTGTACCTGGGAAACTCTGATCAACTTACCCAGAGGAGAATTAAGCTACTATGAAAATTGATGAAAGAAGAAGTGTGAGTTAAGTTATTATATTTCAAAATGAATCAAGGAAATAATTGGAAATCACACTATTATCAAATATTAGATAGAATAGGAGAAAGAACTGGCAGTGTGAATGAGCTACATTTCATTTTTCATATGAGACAGATAGCATTGTTTGTAATCTTTATATCATGAAATAGATCAAACAGGCATTATTGGTTGTTCCAAAGATTGTCATTAAAAAGTAAGGCAAATAACTTAGAGAAATTACACCTCGTCTGTGGGACCAAAGATAAAAATCATAAAAATCTGATTTTTATTGCAGTCTTTTCTGTACTACTGACAAAACTTTTTAAAATTATAATCTATCCACATTTTAAATAGTATACAGCCATCAAAAATCAGATAGTGTTTGATGTGTTGAGTTTTTTAAATGTTTGTCACATATTGTGGAAGTTAAATTAAGCGAATTATCAGCAATATAATTTAAAGATACTGCCACTATAGAAAAAAAATCTGCAGGTGATTATGTGTCTGTTAGTTATCTAGTGTTGTGTATCAAAACGCCCTGAAATACAGTGGCTTCACACAAGAAGCATTTATTATTGTTACAAGGTGGCCGGTCAGCTGAATGTTTCTTTTCATCACTACTGGGATTGTGTCTGAGACCATCTGTGTGTAGGGTAGGCATCTCTGCTGACAAGGCTGGGATATCTCATAGGTTGGGAAAACACCTGGCTGGAGGCTGGTCTAGGATGGCCTTGGCTGAGATGACTGGGCTCTTCTCCACACGAGGTCTCTATTCAGCTAGCAAACTAGACCAGGCTCATCCTCATTTAGCTTCAGGTGTTCAAGAGGGAGAAGGGCACAAGGATTTGTAAAACTCAGGCTGGAAACTCCATCAGATCGCTCTGCGGCATCATGTTGGCCAAAACCTAGTCATAAGGTTAGTTCACAATTAAAGTGAAGGCCAAAAATGCTAGGAGGCCAATGATTAGAGGCATGAATAAAATCAGTGTCATATTAAGTGTTTTATAAAATTATAGAAAAAATTACACACAAAGATGCAAGCTACGCATATAACTGTGGTTACATTGTCAAGTGACATTAAGGAACTTAGATGATCTTTTTCCATTTTATAAACTTTTCTTGTTTGATTTTAATGGCACACATATATCTATTTCAAAAATAAGTGAGTCTCTTGTTCATTTATTGAACGAAAATACATTAATCTCATAAATAAACAATATCCCAATTTAAAAGTGAGTGGATCTGGAAAGAGAAGATAAGAGATAACTTATGTGGGTTTTTCAAACAGTAAAGGGAGTATCACCATTTGCCAGTCCTCAGTCAACCTCTTTCTTTTACCTTCCAGAATCACACTTCCGGGGTTGAGGAAGTATCAATGAAGCAAAGACTCCTGACCATTTCCAGGCTGATGGCAGCAGAGAGACAAATGGAGGTTTAATTTGATTTATTAACGGGCTAAAAATAGATGAGAAAAAACAGAATGCAGAGACGTGTTCTCGTGCAAGTGTGCATGCTTTCATTCTGATCACTTTGTTATATCAAATACCAAAAACACCTTCTGCTTTCTCTTTTCCAAAAGAAAGCCGTTATACATATATGAGATCAGGAGTCTAATTGTATCTTGGCAAAGAGAAAGAGAATTTGAGGACCTGTAGTTTTCCATTTAGGGTGGTATCAACAAGCTGGTCCACTCAGAGGACAGCAAGCCTGTTGAAATTGCTTTCACTTTCGTAGCTTTTTCCTTTCCAGGGAGCAGTAGCAGCCATGGCTGGTAAGTGGCTTCAGTTTTTCTGTTGTTTATGGTTGTACTTTGAGAACACTATAGTTCAAGGGAAAGAAGAAGGCAGAGTGGAGAGGGTTCTCCCAAAACCTAATTATTTTACTCTGGGTGTAGCGGGAAATATGTGAGCTTGGTCACAGCACTAAAAATGCAAACCAAGTGTCTTCATGAATATGTTACAACGTCTCAAATAAAAGAGAAATGTAGACACATCTGGATCTCTGTTCTTAAACTTTTCCTTTGATTTTTAGACTCTTCTTTTAACTCATACTGACCTGCAGTTCTCACCCATTTTATAAGTGTTGTTACGGTGAGGGTGAGAAGCCAGACGGTTGAACAGGGTAACTTGCATTTCCTCCATATTTCTACTCTCTGTGTGAACTTTCAAATACAGCAGCAAATGGGTCAGCTACAATATGTACTCTCAGTCTCGGCATGCCGAGCTTCCCTGTCAGCCTTGATAAAGGAAACAAAAAAGGTGTTATTTTACAGATGAATGCATTTATGTTTAACTGCTGCACATATTGAATATGTCTTTTCAAACTAGTTTTTCAAACCAGTTATTGATAAAAGTGAAAGAAAATGAAGAGATCGTAGGAGATGCAAAGACTAAACTGAGTCAGCTGTCACTAAGTTCCTTAGCGAATTCACTTTGCTTCTCTGAATCTATTTCACCATCTATGGAAATGGAGAGAGGTGAACAAGACAGGAGCTTCTCCACGTGTGGTCCTTGCACCAGAGGTTTTGGCATCACCTGAGAAACTGTTAGAAGGGAAAATTCATGGGCCCATTCTCACCTATGAAATGAAAATTGTTTGGACTAGGGTGCAGGAAGCGCTGCTTACTAAGCTTTCTAGGTGATTCTTATGCACATTAAAATTTGGGAACCACTACCCTAGAATAGGCTAACTAAAGTTCTGTCTATATCTGAGATTCTATCATTCTCACAGATAAGAAACCATCCAAAGATGATCTGGTCCACATGGTGAAGTTGCTGGCCAGGAACGTTCTATATGGCATTTTTGATGACTTGATGGAGAATGGGCTATCTAAAGTTCTGCCTATATCTAAGATTCTGTCATTCTCACAGATAAGAAACCATCCAAAGAGGATCCAGTCAACATGGTGAAGTTGCTGGCCAGGAACGTTCTAGATGGCATTTTTGATGACTTGATGGAAAACAATGTGTTAAATACGGAAGAGTTACGCAGTCTAGGAAAAGGTTTGAACTTCATGGTGAACAACGCTGGAAACCTAGTTGATAATATCACTGAGAAAGCGCAAATGGCAGGCAAAATACTTAAGGACCGCCTATTGAGTCACCCAAAACAGCTGAGTTTAGGTGAGTATTGTCGTACTAAGAGCTAGTAACTCATTCTTTCTCTACTATTCTTATTCAGTTTTTGTCTTCTTTACTTTTCCCTTCTCCAAGTGGAGAATAAACTATCCCCATCTTAGCACCTTCTTCACCCTTTTTTTTTTTTTTTTAATTGAGATGGAGTCTCGCTTTGTTGCCCAGGCGGGAGTGCAGTGGTGCAATCTTGACTCACTGCAACCTCCACCTCCCTGGTTAGAGCAGTTCTCCTGCCTCATCCTCCTTAGTAGCTGAATTTACAGGCACCCTACACCATGCCTGGCTAATTGGTTTTGTTTTGTTTTGTGTTTAGTTGAGATGGGGTTTCACCATGTTGTCCAGACTGGTCTAAAACTGTTGATCTCAGGTGATCCTCCTGTCTCAGCCTCCGAAAGTGCTGGGATTGCAGGCATGAGGCAACAGGCCCGGCCTCCTGTCTATCATATTTAATGCCACATAATACTCTGATTAACCCCAATTACTTTTACACTGCTGTTTACTTTTTCTTTAACAATCCTCACCCTCATCACTCCCTTCAGTTTACTGATTCATTATAGTATTATGTCTCCCTCTGCTGAAATGTAAGCCCCACCATGTGGGGGATCTTTGTCTGCCCCGTTCATGAACATATCCTAAATACATAGAAATGATACCTGACACATAACAGGTGCTCAATAAATATTTGTTAAATACGCATATGGTGCTGGAGACATTATTAAAGGCTGATAGCCTTTAGCTATTCTGGGATACTCTGGTTTCACAATGTGGACTTTAGTGTCATTCCCAGATACAGAATGTACAATAGGGGATATCCATTATCTTTTGCTTAACTGTGGCTTTGCCCCGGAAAGAAATGTCTGGAAATCTAGATTTCTATTCAAGGAAGTAATAGAGAATTCATGGGTTGGTGGGGTACAGACGTTTCTTTCTCTGTGTAGCACGGGTTGTTGCACTTTTGCTTTGAAAGATAATGAATATTTTAATCTTTCTGGACCATGTGGCCTCTGTCATGACTCAAATCATCTATTGCAGCTCACAAACAGCGTAGACCATAAGTACATGATGGGTGTGTTGATGTGTGTCCCAATACAATTTTATTTATAAAAATGGGTGTCGGGCTGAATCTGACCCACAGGCTGTGGTTTGCTGATTCCTATTCCAGACTGTAATATATAAATGAGTATATTCCCAATTCTTGGACATGCATCTGGAATTATTTTTGTTGTAGATAATTTTTATACATAGAGGTACTTTTCTTTGCTCAGAATGAACAATGCCGTTGCCTAAAAACTTTGATTAAAGATTTTGATTATTCATTGAATTCTATAAGCAGACAGATAACAAGCTCCCCTTTGTTTGATAGAAACTCGGCCTCCCTTTACACTCGGCTGAAGGCTACATTCCTCTAGAACAAACTTGTTGCTTAGTGAATGGGCCAAATCTTCATGCTTCATAGAGTAGCCCCATGCTAGCATAGTTATCTACTCATTAGTGAAAGGGAAAGAATGTAAAGTGTGTAGGTTCTTGAAACTTAGTTCTGCGAACAAATCTGTTTTTTATATTGTTTCAGAATATCAACGTGAGATTGAGGACCAGGAACCTGAAGAAAGCTCTGCATCATCTTCTTCTTCCACAGGTAACGGCCTCCAATTGCCAGATTCCAAAAGAAAACTCTTGGGCCTCTATTGTGAGAAGGTATCCCAGTAAAGACCTGGGAAACCTGTGTTCTCAGTCAATTTTCATCCTTGGAAATGGCTTTCAGAGTAGAGCACTGATCCTAAACCTTTTCTTCATTCTACTGCAGAATCTGAAGAAGAAAATGAAGAAAGCAAAGATGAAGAAAGAGCTGCATCAGCTCATTCAATGGCTGTTCCTCCAACAGGTAAACTGCCACCAAAAAAGTGGTTCATGGGAACCCTCAGGCGTCGTTTGGGGGTAAGATAGCCTTAGAATGAGCCCTATATTACAGAGGAAACACCACTGCATTGAGGTTCAGACAACATAGTTATTTCTCACCTCCTGTTGTAACAAGGTGTCTCAAAAGCAAGATGAGCACCTACATCCCTGCTCTTCAATTCTCCTCAGAACCCAGAAATGAAAGTGAAAGTGAAGAAACTGAGCAGAATGCTGTATTGGTCCAAGCATCAGCTCTAACAATGACATGTGATATCTATCCATGGACATATAATGACATTATTTGAGATAAAGCAGACTTTTTAAAGGTCTTATGGGGTAGTGCAAAGAGAACTGGAATAAAAGCTAAGAACATTGTATATGCTGAGCCCACCACTACCACTGACTATGTGCTTTGATGTAAATATCCCCACCTTTCTGACACTCACATTTTTAAATGGAATTCATCACATCTTTAAAAAATGTGTAAAACTACAGATATACAAGAAACTATTAACTGCAGAAAACAGAATAAGGAAATGGTTAAGAAAAGCACATAAAAAATAATAAAAACTGCATATGAGTCACACATTCTATGCAGTCACCAAGGAAACTGATCAATTATCGAGCTACATTAAAGAATTGTAGTGTCTAGAACGACACGATGAGCATAAATGATAGTATTGTCTTCCGAGTGCCATATTTTCAAAAGTTCTGAACAAACTTAAAAAGGAATAAAAACTTTTCAACCTTTTATCATGGTTTTATCCACTCAGTATATATTAATTGAAAACCTACTGCATGCTGTCTAGTACTGTGTGTATAGCAGTAACCGAGATAGACAAAGCTCCTGCTCTCATGGAGTTTACAATGTAGTGAAGTAGGTATATAAAAGGCATGTAAATAATAAATGGTGTGATTTCAGAGAATGCATAAAATAAAGGAGGATTAGGTCACAGAAAGAGGTGGTTGTGTGTGTGTGTGTGTGTGTGTGTGTACGTCGTGTGTGTGTCAGCCAGGGTTGGTCAAGGGAAGACCAGTGAGCCAGGGTGTTTGCTCAGTCATGACCTCTCCTCAGAGGAGGCATTTCAGTACATACATGAGCTGTGGGGAAGGAGCTGTGCCAAACTCTGAAACACAAGTGTTCTCTAGAAAGAGGAAACAGGAGCAAGGACCCTGAGACAGTAACGCTCTTGTTGTGTAAGAGGGTCACAGCCAATCTGACTGCAGAGTAGGAAATTAGGGGTAGTGTAAGTGGAACTATTAAAGATTCATGCCAGGAATTTTATTTGCAACAGAAAACATTGCAGGGTTTTTTTGTTTGTTTGTTTGTTTTTTAGGACAACTGTATATTACTAGTTGACGATCCTTACAAATTCCAGGAGTGTTGCAGAGCCTCTGTTCTTCCTAGCCATCTATTACAGTTAACACCCATTCCTAAAATAAGTGCTTAAACTTACATAAGTTTATCTTAGTTTACATAAAATAGATGACATTAAAAAGCAAAAGCAATATAAATATAATAAATTGACCTCTCTGTGTAAGAATTTGGTACTCCCTTTAACCAAAATGTAAATAAGGTGTTTCTAACTGAGGGTTTTTTAACAGCAACCCTCAAAGTGAAAGACAGCTGTTAATCTCCCACTTTTCTCTCTCCATTTCTTTCATTTCCCCTTTCTTACTATCTGTTTCATTTTCTTTCCATTGAATTCTTTTTCTTGTTCCTCTGTTTTTCCCTCTTCTCTTTTTTTCCTCTCTTTTTCTCCTTCCTTTCATTTACTTCACTCTGTACTCTCAATTCTTCCTTTAATCTTCCTGCCCATGTTGAAATCATTACATACTAATAGAGCCAAGTAAATTGCAACTGCAAGGACATGACCTAATGTCACAGCAGAAAAATGATAAATGATGCATCTTACCTTCATTTACATTACTTAGAAGTTGTTAAACGAGGAGTGATAGGATAAGCATCCCATCAAAAAGGTCAGTTGAAAGCGGTTGAAATATTTCAGTTAGAAAGACAATAGCTTTTAGACTGACTTTACGGCAATAGAATTGATGAAAAGTTGTTAAATTTGAGACCTAGTGTTACGGGGGGTCCTTGTTCCCAGAGGTCCCAAGAGCAGCGGACCACTTCCAAGATGGTGGCGAGCCTCGTGTTCGCTGACCTGGGGTTCTTGGCCTCACAGATTCCAAGGAAAGGAATCTTGGGCCATGCGGTGAGTGTTATAGCTCTATTAGAAGCCATGGTCATGGAAGAGAACTGTGGAACCCGGCGACTAGTGCTCAGCCCAATTAGGATGAACCCAGGCACTTAGCTGTGCAGGAACAATGGCAAGCCTTTAGCCCCATCGGGAGTGGCAATGGGTGCCTTGCTGGATCAGGAGCACAGCAGACAACCTGCTGGATCCAGAGGGATGGAAGTCAGTGACGGGTCTGCAACAGGGGCAAACAGCAGTGGCGGACGGCGAGTGAAGAAAGCTCAGCTTGAGCTGTAACAAAACACGGACCAAAAGAGAGTGCAGTTGCAAGATCTAATAGAGTGAAAACAGAGCTCCCATATAAGGGGAGGAGATCCAAAGTGGGTTGACGTTGCAGGCTCGAATGCCTGGGTTTATATCCTGATCCTTGTCCCTCCTGCTGTGCTCTCAGGCAATAGATGATTGGCTATTTCTTTACCTCCTGTTTTTGACTAATTAGCATTTTAGTGAGCTCTTTGATTGGTCGGGTGTGGGCTAAGTTGCAAGCCCCATGTTTAAAGGTGGATGTGGTCACCTTCCCAGCTAGGCTTGGGGATTCTTAGTCAGCCTAGGAAATCCAGCTAGTCCTGTCTCTCACTAGTTTGGGCAGCAGAATCAATGGAAACTGACTAATGAATTGGATATGGGATGTGAAAGAAAAGAAATAACTAATAATGACTAGGTTTTTGCTTGGCAACTGGGGTGAATGATGCCATTTACTGAGTCAGAGAAAACAGGTGTGCAGGAGACACAGATTTGAAGGAGTGCACAATATCAAGAGTCCTGTTTTGAATGTTTGGTTTGGAACACGTGTCACCTCCAATGGCAGATGTTGAATAGGCAAATGGATGGGCTCACAGAGAAATCTGGACTGGGAAAAATCTGGAGATTCATCAGCATGTAGATAGTATTTAAGAGATTGAGACTGGAAGATGCCACCTGGGAAAGAGCATTGACAGAGAATAACAGAGTGTCTGGCATAGAAAAACACAACTTTTGGAGACATTGTGGGAGAGGAAGAACCAACAACTAAGACAGACAGATTTAGGAAGAATGGCTGGAAAATGCAGCATTACAGAAGCCTAGAGAATGTTTTCTAAGAAAGAGTATATTTTCAACCATGGCATGCTAAGAAATCAACAAATGATCAGTGGTAGTTTTGATAATAAGTATTTTATTTAAGGATTGAGGAAACAGGAAGGCTTTTTTTTTAAAGAAAAAAGTAAACCTTTAAAGATATTAAGGCATGCTGATGCCAATGGGCATAAGTCTGTAGGAAAAGAGAAAGAGATTGATGACATAGAACCTGAGGCAGAATAAATACCTGATAAAAACCCTTGTGGGTAGGAGGGGATGGAATTCAGAACTCAGGTAGGGGCAGTGACCTTTGATAGGAGGAAGGACACATGTTTTATGCAGTAAAAGAGAAAGTAGAAGAGGTGAGCAGAGATGTAAGTAAATTGATGGATTTGATGGTTAAAAGGGGAAATATTTCTTATGCAAAACCATGATAAGATATAGGTTTGTTGCCCTAAGGGAACAAAGAACCAGGGTAGACCTTGTAGCTATTTTCAAGTATTTGAGGACAACTATTCACTAACAAAATTTATAAACTAGCAATCCTTCCAGATACAATTCTATATACTGGAAATACAAATATAAAAGTCGACTTCTCTATCCTAATTAAGGTTATAGTAAGTAAACACAATTAAAGTATAATGCAATAGTTGTTTATGTTGAGGGTATTTTCATGTAAGAATGAAAAAATAGGGAAAGACATATTGGTCGTGGAAGAATTCATGGGCTTTTACAGGGAAATGAATTAAATGTTTTCTGTATGATTCTGAGGTGGGAAATACATATCAATACCTAGAAGGTACACATTTTATTATATACATAAGAGTTTAAGAATGCCTTGGAATGTTTTGGGTTCCATGAAAGGGGAGATGTCTCAGAGAATGGTAATAATAAAGAAAGGATATTTCAAGTGACATTCAAATATCTGAGTAGTGATTCCACTAGGCTAAATGAACATTAAACTTCCTTCCAAATCTTAGTTGCTGTATTTATATAATGCAAATGTGTTGGGTCTGAAAGATTAGTCCATGCCATGAGCACTAACGAAAACACCGAAATTTATAACGAGGCAGTAAGAAGCAGAAAGAAAATAGGGATGTACTCAATATTTTTGTTATAGGCATTTTAAATATGAAGCAATTTTCTCATTTTGTAAAACTTTTTCATGGACTGGCAGCAAGCAGCTTTGAGGAATGAGAGCCTAGCAAAAGGGTCTGCAGGGTTGCAAGGCAGCAGACATTACTGCTTAATGAGCTACACAATTTTTTTCTCTTTCAGCTCCTCTGGAAATCCAGGGTGCCCAACCCAGTGGCAGGATAAAGCTTTGCCCTCATGCTCATTTCCATGAACTGAAGACGAAAAGGGCAGATGAGGTGATATGCTTTGAAATAGGGAGACACAAGATTACTCATTCAGACAAGACACTGGGGACTTACTGGGATGCTTTAACTCTCATCACAAAGGCCTTAAGATCAGGAAATGATCTAACTGATTGGTCTTCACATTACATTTTCTATTTCTTCAATCTCACTTTGGGACACAGTCTCAACTCCTCTCCACCACCTAACTGAAGCCAACTTCGTACAGTGAACACTTGCACCTCGTACATGCTTCCAGTCTGGTTTTCTGCCTCTTTCCTCACGACGGTGTATTTTCATGCAGAAACTTTTTGTCACTTGCTCTATATTTACATTGGACTGTTGCATATGAACTTTGGAGGCAAAAAGGAAAAGGCCTGGGGAAAGTCATTCTGTGTGTATTAATTACAGATATATCCAGTGATGGAGAAAGAGGGCCGAACACGCCTGGCCCTCATCATCTGCAACAAAGAATTCCACTATCTTCTTAATCGAAATGGTTCTGAACTTGACCTTTTGGGGATGCAAGATCTACTTGAAAACCTTGGATACTCAGTGGTTATAGAAGAGAATCTCACAGCTCAGGTGATGGCTCCAGAGAGCAGAACAAGCTTTCCATTTTTTTTTCTTTTTTCCTTTAGATAGTTTTCAACCTCTTAATTGGTAGCTATAAGAGCAAGATGTATGATATTATAGGAATTATATTTTCTCCAGAATAGGATCCCGTGGATTTCAGCCTTCTCTAATGCACCATCTATAACATGTACGTGTGTGTGTGTGTGTGTGTGATTAGATAAATTCTATGTAGCAGAGTTTTAGTGAAAATATTAGGTCTTTCTGATGTTCACAATCTGGGAGACTACTAGATGGTCTGGTTAAGACAAAAGCCCCACACCCTGCCATGCTGCCATGTCTGATTTCTCCAGAATTAGCTTGTGAGATTTTTAAAATGTTCATAGCAAGTGTCTAAATGTAAAAGCAGGTATAGGTGAAAAAAATCACACACACACACAAATATATAATGAAAAGGTTGTGATTCTAGCTCTGTTTTGCATGACCTTAGACCATTTTAAACTAACTTTCTGCAGCTCCATAGTGAAGGAATTTCATATTTTTAATACTTGTCAATTTTATCTTTTAAAATAAAAACTTACAAGAACACCATTGTTAAACAGATTATAGCAAAGTGGCCCTGTTGGTGTCTTGTCATCTCATTTGGCCTTCATTTTATTCCATCTCCCAGCATCTTCAGAAACCTAAGGTTTTACTGAAAACCACTGGGCAAGATACTACATAAAAACCCTACTAACTTTAATATTCTATACAGTTAAATTTTCTAGTTTTATGTCAGAACACTATTTATCTTACAATCCCATTCAGTCTAAACCATCTGATTCCTTACTACTGGCTCATTTTTGTGAACCCCACCTGCTATTTGAGTACAAACTGCACACATGTGGAGACTTCCTCGATAGTGACTCAAGGGTCTCTTTCAGGAAATGGAAACAGCCCTAAGGCAGTTTGCTGCTCGCCCAGAGCACCAGTCCTCGGACAGCACATTCCTGGTGTTCATGTCACATGGCATCCTGAATGGAATCTGTGGAACTAAGCACTGGGATCAAGAGCCAGATGTTCTTCACGATGACACCATCTTCGAAATTTTCAACAACCGTAACTGCCGGAGTCTGAGAGACAAACCCAAGGTCATCATCATGCAAGCCTGCCGAGGCAGTGAGTCTCCAGTTAGAAAGCTATAAATCTTGATTTTGAGACCCCCGGGAGTGGCTGTGCACTTTTAAAATTAGCCTGGTGTTTATACTTCATTTTCCTAGGGATGGGCAAGAGGAACAACATTTCAGTACTATTCCTAGGTCCAGTGCACTTCGAAATTGTATTAAGTCCATATCGTTTTTTTAAAGAAACTATAAGTAGAATAATTAGAAACATCCCAATCATCTGGGACGATGTTGTCAACATGGTTATTCTAAACTCAAGTGGGCTCTGTTTTGTTCCCGGTAAGTGAGGCAGTATTTCTAGTAGTAAGGTACTTGCATTTTTAAGTAATGCCATGAGAAAATGTACTAAAGGAAAGGTATTATGGTAAAAGAGACAGTATCGTGTATGTGTATGTGTATGCATATGTGTATATGTGTGTATGTATATGCATATGTGTATGTGTGTGTACGTGTATGTGTATGTGCATGGGCATGTGTGTGCATATGTGTATGTGTATGCATATGTATTTGTGTTTGCATATGTATATGTGTATTTATAAATACCTTATGTTTCATAAGACATAATGTCTCTCCCAGGTGGTGCTGGGATTGTTTGGTTCACCACTGACAGTGGAAAAGCCAGTGCAGATACACATGGTCAGCTCTTGCAAAGTAACATCTGTAATGATGCTGTCACAAAGGCTCATGTGGAAAAGGACTTCATTGCTTTCAAATCTTCCACACCACGTAAGTGATTTCAGAGAGAATAGTTTCTAGATTTCTTTGTAGGTTGCTAGATAGTCGACTTGGCTATGATTATATCTTATCACTGATAAGAGCATTTCTTCTCTAATCACTAGGATATTTTAGGTGGAGAAAAGATTTAAAATGCTGAGACTTTCATAATTAGAAAGCTATAAATCTTGATTTGGGAAGAAACGTTCAAAGTTAACAGGACTTTGGAAGGACTTTGGTGAGCATCCAGACCTGGAATAATCTAACTACAAAAAGTGAGGTGTTATCTGATTTTGTTTTTTGAATGTAGCAATGGCAGAGAAAGGTATCATTTTCTCACAGTGTATCTCCACAGTCACTTACCAGCAATTAAAGAAGCCAACCACTGAAACCATTATGCTTGCTTCACACATCCCAGTAACTCTTGGCCTATTATTATTAATCTAGTTTCAGAAAACTAGTTAACATTTAAATGCCTAAATATTAACTAATTTTGGATAATGAAGTCAATGAATAAAAAATCAGTCCTTTGGCTGGAAAGTCACAATGCAATGTAAAAATAGAGAATATTCTTGACCACTCATGGTCAAAATTGCAGATCTCTTTAACAATCATCCACAATATTATTCTATCAATGATTTGGATAACAGGAGCAATTTTTAAATACTCCTTTGCACAGTTCACAGATCTAAATGCTCTAATTTATGGATTTCAAATTTTAATGAACATAGAAATCACTTGATTTCTTGTTCAGTAGTTTGCTTATGCAGTAGATTTCTTATTCAGTAAATCTGGGGTGGGGCCTGACTTTCTGCCTTTCTTAAAAGCTTTGTTGTGATTAGGGCTGTTGTTTGTGGCTGCATGTGAGAACTGAGGGGCTAGAGGACACTCTGAGTCCAGCCTGGGGAATAAACAACTAAAGTGGCTTCCCTTTGTCATGTATTCGAGTTTTCATAAGATTTTATTTGAAAAATAAGTTCTACACTTACAGCTGTTAAAGGAAGTTAAAGAGGTGTGTAAGGCCTGGTACAAATTCTGAAAGTATATTTAATTTATTTGGGGAAATACAATACAATATGCAAAATCCTTCCTTCCTTCCTTCCTTCCTTCCTTCCTTCCTTCCTTCCTTCCTTCTTTCCTTCCTTCCTTCCTTTTCTCTCCCTTCCTTCCTTCCTTCCTTCCTTCCTTTTTCTTTTTCCTTCTTTCTTGCTTTCTTCCTTTCTTTTTCTCACTTTCCCTTCCTCCTTTCCTCCCTCCCTCTTTTCCTTCCTTCCTTCCCTCCTTCCCTCCTCCTTCTCTCTTTCCTTCTTTCTTTCCTTCTTTCTTTTCTTTCTTTCTTTCTTTCTTTCTTTCTTTCTTTCTTTCTTTCTTTCTTTCTTTCTTTCTTTCTTTCTTTCTCTTCTTTCCTTTCTTTCTTTCTTTCTTTCTTTCTTTCTTTCTTTCTTTCTTTCTTTCTTTCTTTCTTTCTTTCTTCTCTCTCTCTCTCTCTCTCTCTCTCTCTCTTTCTCTTTCTTTCTTATTTCTTTTGCATGTAATTTTGTGCTAGGCCTGGGCTCAGTGCAAGACATATGATGCACAATTAAAGCAGGTATGGTTACTGAACTTGATGGAGCTTATACCCAGAAAGGCAGGCACTTAACAAGAATAAATAATAATTGTTAACTCTGGTAAAAGCCTTAAAAAATATGTGTTCACATTTGAGAAATGAAGGAGTTAACAAATCTAGGGTAAGAGAGGAACTTTTTAGACAGGAAAGGCAGTGCGTATGGAGAACTTACAGACAAAAAAGAAGCTTAGGAGAGGGGGCTAGGCGGCTGGAACACAGCATCAGGAGAGATGCTAATACAGAGTCTGGAGAGTGAGGCAGGCCTGAAACACCTGAGGCCTTATATGGTCCTTCATACTAATAGTAATAGGAAACTCAACTAGGCTGTAAGCAGTTAAATGATAAGATCTTTGTTTTTGAAGATCATTCTGGAGGTTCAGTGTGGAATACATTATAGTACAGCAAGAGTCGATATATGAGGACAGGTTAAATGCTAGCACAACATATGAAGCCATAGATGATACTAATAGTCTTGGTATGTAATAAGTTCTTGTATCTAAGAAGCAATTAGTATACAAAAGTAATATGACTGACCACCCAGTGGTTTGGTGAAATATGGTAGGTGAAGAATAAAGTGTGATAGAAGTGACTCCAGCATGCAAGTAAATAGTGGGGCATTAGTTAAAATGGGAGTTTTGCAGGAAGTTTTGAGGTGCTTTGGCATATTTTGAGATGAAATGAAGAGTAGGGAGCTGCACAGTTGTATATTTCAGAGGAGAGATTTGCATGTGGGATAAAATTTTGAGAGATGCTGGTCTAAGGATAATATTTAATATCCTAAAAATGGATGAAATCATCTAAGAATTGAGAATTGCATAAGAGGAGACCTTGAAATGGAGGTTAAAATTACCCTAGAGTTCAATACTAGAGAAATAGGAACCAGTAAATTTGACTTGCAAAGTAGAATCAGAGAATAAGAAAGAACATAAGGAGTATGCGTTGCTAGATTTACCAACAAAGAATCTGTTGGAGTTCCAACAGTTTCTGATGTGAATGAAAGATCAGATCTAGGTAAGGGTTGATGAATGACTATTAGATTTAGTAACTTGGAGGTCATGGTGACCTTGGGGAAAGTCATTTGGCAAAGTTGATGTTAGGTGTAGCAAGGAGAAGCCTAATAGGAGTGAGCAGGATAAGGGAAATGGAATGGTGAATATAGACAGAATTGGAATTTTGACTTTAAAAAGTAAGGAGAAATCAGCAGCTGGCTGCAAGTAAAGCAGTAGTTAGAGAAGTATTGCCTTTTTTTTCTAAATTGTAGGAGTAGCTTGGTCATATTAAAATGGTAAACAGAAGCAGTCATTGAAAATATTTTTATACAACATAACAAAAAGTACACAAAAATATATAGTATGAAACAAGTCAGGATGAAGAAAGGGCCCAGAATCAAGGAATGTCAAGGCTGAATTATTTTTCTCTTATGTAGTTAGTGCTGAAAGGACTTACACTCTTTTCCACCACTTGCAAACCCAGAGGATATCACTTCAGTCTAGCCTACCAGAAAAGTCAAGGGGATTTACGAGTGAGGGTCCATGATGGCTTTTTCTGGGTCTGCCATGGAAGCTGGAGGTACCATCTTTATTTAGCATTGGTTTTCCTCTCTTCTCCGAAGAAACAAAATCAGATTTTGTCCCAAAGGTATTGCTCCAGGAATCTTCCCCATGTATAAAAGATCACATCCTCCAATATTTTGATGCCTTTTATTTGCAGATAATGTTTCTTGGAGGCATGAAATAAGTGGCTCTGTCTTCATTTCCCAAATTATCTACTACTTCAAAGAGTATTCTTGGAGTCATCATCTAGAAGAAATTTTTCGAAAGGTAGGGGTCTTCTTTTATTTTCAATGCTATGCCCCAGAAAATTTTGGAGAACCATTTGTGAATTTTTTTAGGAAATCCCAAAGCTCTTAATTCATCTTGACAATCCTTCCTGTATTCCAAGTTTATTCAAAGATGAGGTCTTCCAAAATGCTACATAGAACCAGTGTGGGTTTTCCCAATAACCTGACTGTGATAGATTTGCTTACCCAGGGAATTCTTTTTAGAGTAAGAATTCATTTGTGTATGTGCTATATCTAAGGAAAAGCTAAAAATACCTTCTGTTTACATTACCTAGCTATAGCCTTAATACACATTATGACTTTTCTCACTTCTGAAAGAGTCAGGTTTTCCTTTTAGAACATCTCTAAAGGCTTTCTTTACTACTTTAGGTTCAACGTTCATTTGAGACACCAAATGTAGTAACCCAGTTGCCCACCATTGAAAGACTATCCATGACACGATATTTCTATCTCTTTCCTGGGAATTAAAACTCATAAAAAGCAACTCAGGTAAATATATTCTAGAAGTGGATTTGGGTGCTCCCTGCTCATCTATTCAGAAAGTCTGGATAGAATGGAGAATAATGATGGCATGTCAGCTGCCCGCTAGTTATAGAGGAGGCTTGTGTTATTTTCCTTTTCTTAGTGACCCCCAGTGAAACCCTAGTTTTATATTACATCAGTCATAGCATAATGGTTGTGTAAGTAATGGTAGCCCAATAGCGGTCAGCTAGAAAATCCTTTATGTCTAATTTCTCTCAAGGAACTACTCAGCAAGTGGGGAATATTGGATTCTGACGTATGCGGAAAGTAAAGTCATTGGAAATGTGATGTATATCCAGTGTTTGTCTCTCTTCACCCAAAAGTCGCTTTTACTGCGCCATGTTCTCCTCTGTTTGTGATGAGGCTTTCCTGTACCATATGCTAGACTAGCTGCTAAATCTATGCTAAGGCAATGAGGCCCTAGTACAGATCTTCCCGTTTGGGGATGACAGGTCCGTAGCCCTTTTGTGAAGGTATTTCTCACAGTAGAGATTAGTTATATTTACATCTTACCTCTAATAGCCAGATTACTCATCTTCTCTTCTTCTACTTTTCTCTAGGAAAATGAAGGCATTATGGTGTCTATGAATCTGCTATGTGAAAAGGTCAATTTTTGATTAAGAATATTTTTGTATCAAACTGCTCGCTGTCCACCTTTTGCAAATACCAGGCTAAAATCAATCTCATATTTTTGCTAAATTAATGCTTAATAAATTTTTATTATAAAATTGTGCTTGTTTTCTCATTTTGTCATAAAATAAGTCATGCTTATAGGAGAAAAAATTAAGTATTAAAAATCACAAGAAAAAATTAATGAAGAAATAATCATTTTCAACCTTGTTAAAACTATTCACAAAAACTCAGGTTATTTTATATAGCCTATTTATTTTGAATACGCAATTTTGTGTCCTTTCATTATATTGTTAAAACATTACTACTGGTAATAAAACTGTACTAAACATAACTTTTAAGTTTATAATATTCATCAGGCATATAAAGTACATACTATTTAACTTTCACCTGACTTTTAGATGTTGATTTCAATATTCATTTATTTTATTTTATTTTTTGTTTATTTCAATAATTTTGGGGAACAGGTGGTGTTTGGTTGCATGAGTAAGTTCTTTTGTGGTGATTTATGGTGCACCCATCACCCGAGCAGTGTACACTGTACCTAATGTGTAGTCTTTTATCCCTCAACCCACTCCCACACTTTCCCCTAAGTCCCCAAGAGACCATTGTATCATTCTTATGGCTTTGTGTCCTTACACCTTAGCTCCCACTTATGATTGTGAACATACAATGTTTAGTTTTCCATTCCTGAGTTACTTCACGTAGAATAATGGTGTCCAATTCCATCCAAGTTGCTGTAAATGTCATTATTTAATTCCTTTTTATGGCTAAGGAGTATTCCATGATATGTATATATATCACATATTCTTTATTCATTCGTTGATTAATATGCATTTGGGCTGGTACCATATTTTACAATTGCAAATTGTGCTGCTATAAGCATTCATGTGCAAATATCTTTTTTGTATAATATCTTTCTTTTCCTCTGGGTAGATACAAGGAGTGAGACTACTGGATCAAATGGTAAATCTACTTTTAGTGCTTTAAGGAATCTCCACACTGTTTTCCATAGTGATTGTACTAGCTTACATTTCCACCAGCAGTGTAAAAGTGTTCACTTTTACCACATTTATACCAACATCTATTATTTTTTGATTTTCTGATTATGGCCATTCTTGCAGGAGTAAGATAGTATTGTATTGTGATTTGATTTGCATTTCCCTGATCATTATAGACGTTGAGCATTTTTTTCATATGTTTGTTGACCATTTGTATATCTTCTTATAAGAATTGTTTATTCATACCTTTAGGCTACTTTTTGATAGGATTGTTTGTTTCTTTCTTGCCAATTTGTTTAGGTTCCTCGTAGAGTCTCAATATTAGTCTCAATACAGAGTGTGGGTTATTTGCGCGCTCTGCTGATTATTTCTTTTGCCATGCAAAAGCTCTTTAATTTAATGAAGTTCCATATATTTATCTTTGTTGTTGTTGAAGCAAGAAAAAAAATATTTTACATTTGCTTGGTCATAAAGTCTCTCCCTAAGCCAGTGTCTAGAAGGGTTTTTCTGATGTTATCCTTTAGAATCTTTATGGTTTCAGGTCTTAGATTTAAGTCTTTGATCCATCCTGAGTTGATTTTTGTATAAGGTGAGAGATGAGGATCCAGTTTTATTTTTCTACATGTGGCTTGCCAATTATTCCAGTACCATTTGGTTAATAGGGTGTCCTTTCCCCACTTTGTGTTTTTGTTTGCTTTGTCAAAAATCAGTTGACTGTATTTGGATTTATTTCTGGGTTCTTCACTCTGTTCCATTGGTCCATACACCTGTTCTTATATCAGTGCCATGCTGATTTGGTGACTACAACTTTATAGTATAGTTTAAAGTCAAGTAATGTAATACCTCCTGATTTGTTCTTTTTGCTTGGTATTGCTTTGGTTACATGGGCTCTTTTTGGTTCCATATGAATTTCAGGGTTTTTTTTCCTAGTTATGTGAAGGAAGAGGGTGGTATTATTATGAGAACGGCATTGAATTTGTAGATTGCTTTTGGCAATATGGTCATTCTTCACAATAATGATTCTATCCATCTATGAGCATGGGTTGTGTTTCTATTTGTTTGTGTTATCTATGATTTCTTTCAGCAGTGCTTTGTAGTTTTCCTTGTAGACGTCTTTTACCTCCCTGGTTAGGTGTATTCTTAAGTATTTTGTTTTTTTGCAGCTACTGTAAAAGGGGTTGAGTTCTTGATTTGATTCTGAGCTTGGTCAATGTTGGTGTATGGCAGAGCTACTGATTTGTGTACATTAATTTTGTATCCTGAAAGTTTGCCAAATTCATTCACCAGTTCTAAAAGCTGTTTGGATGAGTCTTTAGGGTTTTCTAGGTATAAGATCATGTCATGAGCAAATGTGACAGCTTGACTCCCTTTTTACTGATTTGGATGCACTTTATATTTTTCTCTTGTCTGATTGCTCTGGCTAAGACTTCCAGTACTATGTTAAATAGAAGTAGTGAGAGTGTGCATCCTTGCCTTGTACCAGTTCTCAGAGGGAATGCTGAGAGTTTTAATTATGAAGAGATGCTGGATTTTTTCAAAAGTTTTTTCTGTATCTATTGATATAATCATGTTATTTTAATTTTTAATTCCGTTTATGTGGTGTATCACATTTATTGACTTCTGAATGTTAAGCCATCCCTGCATCCCTAGTATGAAATTCACTTGATCATGTTGGATTACCTTTTTGATATGCTGTTGGATTTGGTTAACTAGTATTTTGTCGAGGATTTTTGCATCTATGTTCATCAGGGATATTGGTTTGTAGTTTTCATTTTAAATTATATCCTTTCCTGGTTTGGGTATTAGGGCAATACTGGCTTCATAGAATGATTTAGGGAGGATTCCCTCTTTCTCTATCTTTTGGAATAGTATCAGTAGGATAGGTACCAATTATTTTTTGAATGTCTGAAAAAATTTAGCTGTGAATTTGAATTTGTCTGGTCCTGGACCTTTTTTTTTTTTTTTTTGGTTGGTAACTTTGTAAATTACCATTTCAATCTTGGTGTTTTCTGTTGGTGTGTTCAGAGTCTCTATTTCTTCCTGATTTAGTCTAGGAGGGTTGTATATTTTCAGTAATTTATCTATCTCCTCTGAGTTTTTTAGTTTGTGCATAGAAAGGTGTTCATAGTAGCCTTGAATGATCTTTTGTATTTCTGTGGTATTGCTTGTAATATCTCACATTTCCTTTCTCATTGAGCTTGCCTGGATCTTCTCTCTTCTTCTCTTGGTAAATCTCGCTAATGATCTATCGATTTTATTTATCTTTTCAAAGCAGCAGCTTGTCGTTTCAGTTATGTTTTGTATTGTTTTTATTTCCATTTCATTTAGATCTGCTCTGATTTTTGCTATTTCTCTTGTTCTGCTAGATTTGGCTTCGGTTCTTGTTTCTCTAGCTCCTTGAGGTGTGACCTTAGAATGCCTATTTATGCTCTTTCAGACTTTTTGATGTAGACATTTAATGCTATGAACTTTCCTCTTAGCACCACCTTGACTGTATCCCCAAGGTTTTGATAGGTTGTGTCACTATTATTGCTCAGTTGTAAGAATTTTTTTAATTTCCCTCTCGATTTCATTGTTGACCCAATGATCCTTCAGGAGCAGATTATTTAATTTCCATGTATTTGCATGGTTTTGAGGGTTCTTTTTGGAGTTCATTTCCAACTTTTTTTCTACTGTGGTCTGAGAGAGTACTTGCTATAATTTTGATTTTCTTAAATTTGTTGAGACTTGTTTTGTGGCCTGTCATATGGTCTATCTTGGAGAATGTTCCATGTGCTGATGAATAGAAGTATATTCTGCAGTTGTTGGATAGAAAGTTCTGTAAATATTTGTTAAATCTATTAGTTCTAGGGTATAATTTAAGTCCATTGTCTCTTTGTTGACTTTCTGTCTTGACAACCTGTCTAGTGCTATCAGTGGAGTATTAAAGTCCTCAACTACTATTATACTGCAGTCTCTCTGATTTCTTAGGTCTAGTAGTAATTATCTTATAAATTTGGGAGCTCTAGTGTTAGGTGCATATCTAGTGTTAGGTGTATATATTTAGGATTGTGATATTTTCCTGTTGGGCTAGTCCTTTTATCATTATATAATATCCCTCTTTTGCTTTTGCTTTAAAGTTTGTTTTGTCTGATATAACAATAGCTACTCCTGCTTGCTTTTGGTGTCAATTTGCATGGATTATCTTTTTCCATGCCTTTACCTTCAGTTTATGTGATTCCTTATGTGTCAGGTGAGTCTTTTTTAGACACCAGATACACGGTTGGTGAATATATATTCATTCTGCCATTCTGTATCTTTTAAGTGAAACATTTAGGCCACTTACATTCAGTGTTTGTATTGAGATGTGAGGTACTACTCTATTCATTGTGCTACATGTTGCCTGAATACATTTCTGTTTTGTTTTGTTTCTCATTGTGTTGTTGTTTTAAAGGTCCTGTGAGATTCATACTTTAAGGAGATTCTATTTTGGTGTGTTTCAAGAATTTGTTTAAATATTTAGAGCTTCTTTTAGCAGTTCTTGTAGTGCCAGCTTGGTAGTGGCAAATTCTCTCAGCATTTGTTTGACTGAAAAAAACTGTCGCTTTCCTTCATTTGTGAAGCTTAGTTTCATTGGATACAAATTCTTGGCTGATAATTGTTTTGCTTAAGGAGGCTAAAGATAGGACTCCATCCCTTCCAGCTTGTTGGGTTTCTGCTGAGAAATCTGCTGTCAATCTGATAGATTTTCCTATATAGGTTACCTGATGCTTTTGACTCACAACCCTTAAGATTCTTTCCTTTGTCTTGACTTTAGATAACCTGATGACTATGTGCCTAGGCAATGATCTTTTTGTGATAAATTTCCCAGTTTTTCTTTGAGCTTCTTGTATTTTGATGTTTAGATCTCTACCAAGGCCAGGGAATTTTTCCTCAATTATTCTGTCAAATATATTTTCCGTACTTTTAGATTTCTCCTTTTCCTCAGGAACGCCAATTATTCTTAGGTTTGCTCATTTAACATAACCCCAAACTTCTTGAAGGCTTTGTTCATTTTCTTTAATTCTTTTTTCTTTGTCTTTGTTGAATTGAGTTAATTCAAAAGCCTCGTCTTCAAG